TAGAACCGAAATAAATGTTGTTAGTTTAATAAAATCAATCTACAAAAAATATCAGGTTGTACCGCAGTCGCGCAAAAAGAGGGTGACAAATGCAAGAGATGTTCACATGAAAACAGTTCATTTGAGTGTTTTTAGTTTTGGAAAGAAAACTAAATTTTAGTGTGATAACCGAAATAATGGTAACAGACACACAAAAGAGTAGAAGAACCCACAACCAACGCACGCGACCATGGCGCAGTCGGCAGCGCGTAAGTCTCATAATCTTAGGGTCGTGAGCTCGAGCCTCACTGGTCGCAATTCAAGAAGAAAAATTTTACTTGCTTTATATCCAACTATGCAATTTTATATTAAAAAAAGAGAAATTACAAACAAAAACTATAAACAACTAAAGCTTTTAGAACCAAAATAATTGTAGTTAGTTTAATAAAATCAATCTATAAAAAATATCAGATTGTACCGCAGTCGCGCAAAAAGAGGGTGACAAATGCAAGAAATGTTCACATGAAAACAGTTCATTTGAGTGTTTTTAGTTTTGGAAAGAAAACAAAATTTTTGTGTGATCACCGAAAAAATGGTAACAGACACAAAAAAGTGTCGAAGAACCAACAGACAACGCAAGCGATCATGGCGCAGTCGGCAGCGCGTGAGTCTCATAAACTTAAGGCAGTGAATTCGAGCCTCACAGGTTGTAGTTCAAGAAAAACTTTTTCCTTTGCTTTTTCAACGAATTATGAAATATCAAAAAACAAGAAAAAAATAACAAGCAAAATTTATCATCAACCAACGCGTTCAGAACCAAATTGGTTGTTGTTAGTTCAATTAAAAATCAATCCATTAAAAATATCAGATTTTTCCGCAGTCGCGCAAAAAGAAGGTGACAAATGCAAGAGATGTTCATATGAAAACAGTTCATTTTAGTGTTTTAAATTTCGGAAAGAAAACAAAATTTTTGTGTGATAACCGAAATAATGGTAACAGACACAAAAAAGAGTAGAAGAAACAACAACCAACGCACGCGACCATGGCGCAGTCGGCAGCGCGTAATTCTCATAATCTTAAGGTCGTGAGTTCGAGCCTCACTGGTCGCAGTTCAAGAAAAAAATTTTACTTGCTTTATATCCAACTATACAATTTTATATAAAAAAAGAAAAATTACAAACAAAAAGTAAAAAAGTATAACCAACTAAACTTTTAGAACCGAAATAAATGTTGTTAGTTTAATAAAATCAATCTACAAAAAATATCAGGTTGTACCGCAGTCGCGCAAAAAGAGGGTGACAAATGCAAGAAATGTTCACATGAAAACAGTTCATTTGAGTGTTTTTAGTTTTGGAAAGAAAACAAAATTTTTGTGTGATCACCGAAAAAATGGTAACAGACACAAAAAAGTGTCGAAGAACCAACAGACAAGGCAAGCGAACATGGCGCAGTCGGCAGCGCGTGAGTCTCATAATCTTAAGGCAGTGAGTTCGAGCCTCACAGGTTGTAGTTCAAGAAAAACTTTTTCCTTTGCTTTTTCAACGAATTATGAAATATCAAAAAACAAGAAAAAAATAACAAGCAAAATTTATCATCAACCAACGCGTTCAGAACCAAATTGGTTGTTGTTAGTTCAATTAAAAATCAACCCATTAAAAATATCAGATTTTTCCGCAGTCGCGCAAAAAGAGGGTGACAAATGCAAGAAATGTTCATATGAAAACAGTTCATTTTAGTGTTTTTAATTTCGGAAAGAAAACAAAATTTTTGTGTGATAACCGAAATAATGGTAACAGACACAAAAAAGAGTAGAAGAAACAACAACCAACGCACGCGACCATGGCGCAGTCGGCAGCGCGTAAGTCTCATAATCTTAAGGTCGTGAGTTCGAGCCTCACTTGTCGCAGTTCAAGAAAAAATTTTACTTGCTTTATATCCAACTATACAATTTTATATAAAAAAAGAAAAATTACAAACAAAAAGTAAAAAAGTATAACCAACTAAACTTTTAGAACCGAAATAAATGTTGTTAGTTTAATAAAATCAATCTACAAAAAATATCAGGTTGTACCGCAGTCGCGCAAAAAGAGGGTGACAAATGCAAGAGATGTTCACATGAAAACAGTTCATTTGAGTGTTTTTAGTTTTGGAAAGAAAACTAAATTTTAGTGTGATAACCGAAATAATGGTAACAGACACACAAAAGAGTAGAAGAACCCACAACCAACGCACGCGACCATGGCGCAGTCGGCAGCGCGTAAGTCTCATAATCTTAAGGCCGTGAGTTCGAGCCTCACTGGTCGCAGTTCAAGAAAAAAATTTTACTTGCTTTATATCCAACTATACAATTTTATATAAAAAAAGAAAAATTACAAACAAAAAGTAAAAAAGTAAAAAAGTATAACCAACTAAACTTTTAGAACCGAAATAAATGTTGTTAGTTTAATAAAATCAATCTACAAAAAATATCAGGTTGTACCGCAGTCGCGCAAAAAGAGGGTGACAAATGCAAGAGATGTTCACATGAAAACAGTTCATTTGAGTGTTTTTAGTTTTGGAAAGATAACTAAATTTTAGTGTGATAACCGAAATAATGGTAACAGACAAACAAAAGAGTAGAAGAACCCACAACCAACGCACGCGACCATGGCGCAGTCGGCAGCGCGTAAGTCTCATAATCTTAAGGTCGTGAGCTCGAGCCCCACTGGTCGCAATTCAAGAAGAAAAATTTTACTTGCTTTATATCCAACTATGCAATTTTATATTAAAAAAAGAGAAATTACAAACAAAAACTATAAACAACTAAAGCTTTTAGAACCAAAATAATTGTAGTTAGTTTAATAAAATCAATCTATAAAAAATATCAGATTGTACCGCAGTCGCGCAAAAAGAGGGTGACAAATGCAAGAAATGTTCACATGAAAACAGTTCATTTGAGTGTTTTTAGTTTTGGAAAGAAAACAAAATTTTTGTGTGATCACCGAAAAAATGGTAACAGACAAAAAAAAGTGTCGAAGAACCAACAGACAACGCAAGCGATCATGGCGCAGTCGGCAGCGCGTGAGTCTCATAATCTTAAGGCAGTGAGTTCGAGCCTCACAGGTTGTAGTTCAAGAAAAACTTTTTCCTTTGCTTTTTCAACGAATTATGAAATATCAAAAAACAAGAAAAAAATAACAAGCAAAATTTATCATCAACCAACGCGTTCAGAACCAAATTGGTTGTTGTTAGTTCAATTAAAAATCAACCCATTAAAAATATCAGATTTTTCCGCAGTCGCGCAAAAAGAAGGTGACAAATGCAAGAGATGTTCATATGAAAACAGTTCATTTTAGTGTTTTTAATTTCGGAAAGAAAACAAAATTTTTGTGTGATAACCGAAATAATGGTAACAGACACAAAAAAGAGTAGAAGAAACAACAACCAACGCACGCGACCATGGCGCAGTCGGCAGCGCGTAGGTCTCATAATCTTAAGGTCGTGAGTTCGAGCCTCACTGGTCGCAGTTCAAGAAAAAAATTTTACTTGCTTTATATCCAACTATACAATTTTATATAAAAAAAGAAAAATTACAAACAAAAAGTAAAAACGTATAACCAACTAAACTTTTAGAACCGAAATAATTGTACTTAGTTTAATAAAATCAATCTATAAAAAATATCAGATTGTACCGCAGTCGCGCAAAAAGAGGGTGACAAATGCAAGAAATGTTTACATGAAAACAGTTCATTTGAGTGTTTTTAGTTTTGGAAAGAAAACTAAATTTTAGTGTGATAACCGAAATAATGGTAACAGACACATAAAAGAGTAGAAGAACCCACAACCAACGCACGCGACCATGGCGCAGTCGGCAGCGCGTAAGTCTCATAATCTTAAGGTCGTGAGCTCGAGCCTCACTGGTCGCAATTCAAGAAGAAAAATTTTACTTGCTTTATATCCAACTATGCAATTTTATATTAAAAAAAGAGAAATTACAAACAAAAACTATAAACAACTAAAGCTTTTAGAACCAAAATAATTGTAGTTAGTTTAATAAAATCAATCTATAAAAAATATCAGATTGTACCGCAGTCGCGCAAAGAGAGGGTGACAAATGCAAGAAATGTTCACATGAAAACAGTTCATTTGAGTGTTTTTAGTTTTGGAAAGAAAACTAAATTTTAGTGTGATAACCGAAATAATGGTAACAGACACACAAAAGAGTAGAAGAACCCACAACCAACGCACGCGACCGTGGCGCAGTCGGCAGCGCGTAAGTCTCATAATCTTAAGGTCGTGAGCTCGAGCCTCACTGGTCGCAATTCAAGAAGAAAAATTTTCTTGCTTTATATCCAACTATGCAATTTTATATTAAAAAAAGAGAAATTACAAACAAAAACTATAAACAACTAAAGCTTTTAGAACCAAAATAATTGTAGTTAGTTTAATAAAATCAATCTATAAAAAATATCAGATTGTACCGCAGTCGCGCAAAAAGAGGGTGACAAATGCAAGAAATGTTTACATGAAAACAGTTCATTTGAGTGTTTTTAGTTTTGGAAAGAAAACAAAATTTTTGTGTGATAACCGAAAAAATGGTAACAGACACAAAAAAGAGTAGAAGAAACAACAACCAACGCACGCGACCATGGCGCAGTCGGCAGCGCGTAAGTCTCATAATCTTAAGGTCGTGAGTTCGAGCCTCACTGGTCGCAGTTCAAGAAAAAAATTTTACTTGCTTTATATCCAACTATACAATTTTATATAAAAAAAGAAAAATTACAAACAAAAAGTAAAAAAGTATAACCAACTAAACTTTTAGAACCGAAATAAATGTTGTTAGTTTAATAAAATCAATCTACAAAAAATATCAGGTTGTACCGCAGTCGCGCAAAAAGAGGGTGACAAATGCAAGAGATGTTCACATGAAAACAGTTCATTTGAGTGTTTTTAGTTTTGGAAAGAAAACTAAATTTTAGTGTGATAACCGAAATAATGGTAACAGACACACAAAAGAGTAGAAGAACCCACAACCAACGCACGCGACCATGGCGCAGTCGTCAGCGCGTAAGTCTCATAATCTTAAGGTCGTGAGCTCGAGCCTCACTGGTCGCAATTCAAGAAGAAAAATTTTACTTGCTTTATATCCAACTATGCAATTTTATATTAAAAAAAGAGAAATTACAAACAAAAACTATAAACAACTAAAGCTTTTAGAACCAAAATAATTGTAGTTAGTTTAATAAAATCAATCTATAAAAAATATCAGATTGTACCGCAGTCGCGCAAAAAGAGGGTGACAAATGCAAGAGATGTTCACATGAAAACAGTTCATTTGAGTGTTTTTAGTTTTGGAAAGAAAACTAAAATTTTGTGTGATAACCGAAATAATGGTAACAGACACACAAAAGAATAGAAGAACCAACAACCAACGCACGCGACCATGTCGCAGTCGGCAGCGCGTAAGTCTCAAAATCTTAAGGTCGTGAGTTCGAGCCTCACTGGTCACAGTTCAAGAAGAATAAATTTATTTGCTTTATATCCAACTATAAAAATTTAGAAAAAAAAAGAGAAAAATTACAAACAAAAAGTATAACCAACCGAAGCTTTTAGAACCAAAATAATTGTAGTTATTTTAATAAAATCAATCTATAAAAAATATCAGATTGTACCGCAGTCGCGCAAAAAGAAAGTCACAACTGCAAGAGATGTTCACTTGAAAAGAGTTCATTTGAGCAATTTTAGTTTTGGAAAAAAAACAACATTTTTGTGTGATCACCGAAATAATGGTAACAGACACAGAAAAGAGTAGAAGCACCAACAGACAACGCACGCAACCATGGCGCAGATGGCAGCGCGTAAGTCTCATAATCTTAAGGTCGTGAGTTCGAGCCTCACTGGTCGCAGTTCAAGAAGAATAAATTTATTTGCTTTATATCCAACTATAAAAATTTAGAAAAAAAAAGAGAAAAATTACAAACAAAAAGTATAACCAACCGAAGCTTTTAGAACCAAAATAATTGCAGTTAGTTTAATAAAATCAATCTATAAAAAATATCAGATTGTACCGCAGTCGCGCAAAAAGAAAGTCACAACTGCAAGAGATGTTCACTTGAAAAGAGTTCATTTGAGCGTTTTTAGTTTTGGAAAAAAAACAACATTTTTGTGTGATCACCGAAATAATGGTAACAGACACAGAGAAGAGTAGAAGAACCAACAAACAACACACGCGACCATGGCGCAGTCGGCAGCGCGTAAGTCTTGTTATCTTAAGGTCGTGAGTTCGAGTCTCACTGGTCGCAGTTCAAAGAGAAGACTTTTTTTGCTTTATTTCCAACTACAAAAATTTTAAAAAAATTATGGAAAAATTACAAGCAAAAACCATAATCAACTGAAGCGTTTAGAACCGAAATAAATGTTGTTAGTTTGATAATAAAACTAATAAATCAAATCTTCAAAATTACCGGGATATCGAGCATACACACTAAAAGAGGTTTTACAGACGCAAAACGGCAGCGCGTAAGTCTCATAATCTTAAGGTCGTGAGTTCGAGCCTCACAGGTTGCAATTCAAGTAAAACTTTTTCCTTTGCTTTTTCAACGAATTATGAAATATCAAAAAACAAGAAAAAAATAACAAGCAAAATTTATCATCAACCAACGCGTTCAGAACCAAATTGGTTGTTGTTAGTTCAATTAAAAATCAACCATTAAAAATATCAGATTGTACCGCAGTCGCGCAAAAAGAGGGTGACAAATGCAAGAGATGTTCACATGAAAACAGTTCATTTGAGCGTTTTTAGTTTTGGAAAGAAAACAAAATCTTTGTGTGATCACCGAAATAATAGTAAAAGAAACTTAAAATAGTCGAAGATCCAACAAACAACGCACGCAACCATGGCGCAGACGGAAGCGCGAAAGTCTCATAATCTTAAGGTCGTCAGTTCGAGCCTCACTGGTCGCAGTTCAAGAAGAATAATTTTATTTGCTTTATATCCAACTATAAAAATTTAGAAAAAAAAGAGAAAAATTACAAACAAAAAGTATAACCTGAAGCTTTTAGAACAAAAACAAATGTTGTTAGTTTATTAAAATCAATCTCTAAAAAATATCAGATTGTACCGCGGTCGCGCAAAAAGAGGGTCACAAATGCAAGAGATGTTCACTTGAAAACAGTTCATTTGAGCGTTTTTAGTTTTGGAAAGAAAACTAAATTTTTGTGTTATCACCGAAATAATTGTAACAGACACAGAAAAGAGTCGAGGAACCAACAGACAAGGCACGCGACCATGGCGCAGTCGGAAGCGCATAAGTCTCGTAATCTTAAGGTCGTGAGTTTGAGCCTCACTGGTCGCAGTTCAAGAAGAAAAACTTTACTTGCTTTATATCCAACTAAACAATTGTATATATAAAAAAGGAGAAATTACAAACAAAAAGTATAACCAACTGAAGCTTTTAGAACCGAAATCAATGACGTTAATTTTTTTAAAATCAATCTATAAAAATGTCAAATTAAACCGCAGTCGCGCAAAAAGAGGGTGGCAAATGCAAGAGATGTTCAAATGGAAACAGTTCATTTGAGTGTTTTTAGTTTTGGGACAAAAATTAAATTTTTGTGCGATCACCAAAATAATGGGAACAGACACAAAAAAAAAGCCAAAGAATTAACAGACAACGAACGCGACCATGGCGCAGTCGGCAGCGCGTAAGTGTCATAATTTTAAGGTCGTGAGTTCGAGTCTCACTGATCGCAGTTCAAAACGAATACTTTTTATGCTTTATTTCCAACTATAAAAATTTTAAAAGTATGGAAAAATAACAATTAAAAACTATAATCAACTGAAGCGTTTGGAACCGAAATAAAGGTTGTTACTTTAATAATAACGTTTAGAACTGAAATAAATGTTCAAGCAAAATTTATCATCATCTAACGCGTTCAGAAGCAATTTGGTTGTTGTTAGTTCAATAAAAAATCAACCCATTAAAAATATCAGATTATTCCGCAGTCGCGCAAAAAGATGGTGACAAATGCAAGAGATGTTCACACAAACACAGCTCATTTGAGTGTTTTAGTTTTGGAAAAAAAACTAAATTTTTGTGTGATCACCGAAATAATGGTAACAGACACAGAATAGAGTCGAAGAACCAACGAACAACGCACGCGAACATGGCGCAGTCGGCAGCGCGTAAGTCTCATAATCTTAGGGTCGTGAGTTCGAGCCTCACTGGTCGCAGTTCAAGAAGAATAATTTTATTTGCTTTATATCCAACTATACAATTTTACAAAAAAAAGAAAAATTACAAACAAAAAGTATAACCAACTGAAGCTTTTAGAACCGAAATAAATGTTGTTAGTTTATTAAAATTTATCTATAAAAGATGTCAGATTGTGCCGCAGTCGCTCAAAAAGAGCGTGGCAAATGCAAGAGATGTTCAAATGGAAACAGTTCATTTGAGTGTTTTTAGTTTTGGGACAAAAATTAAATTTTTGTGCGATCACCGAAATAATGGGAACAGACACAAAAATAAGAGTCAAAGAGTTAACAGACAACGAACACGACCATGGCGCAGTCGGCAGCGCGTTAGTCTCATAATCTTAATGTCGTGAGTTCGAGTCTCACTGGTCGCAGTTCAAGAAGAATAATTTTATTTGCTTTATATCCAACTAAACAATTTAATAAAAAAAAGAGAAATTACAAACAAAAAGTATAACCAACTAAAGTTTTTAGAACGGAAATAAATGTAGTTAGTTTAATAAAATAAATTTATAAAAAATATCAGATTGTACCGCAGTCACGCAAAAAGAGAGTGGCAAATGCAAGAGATGTTCAAATGGAAACAGTTCATTTGAGTGTTTTTAGTTTTGGGACAAAAATTAAACTTTTGTGCGATCACCGAAATAATGGGAACAGACACAAAAACAAGAGTCAAAGAATTAACTGACAACGAACACGACCATGGCGCAGTCGGCAGCGCGTTAGTCTCATAATCTTAAGGTCGTGAGTTCGAGTCTCACTGGTCGCAGTTCAAAGAGAACACTTTTTTTGCTTTATTTCCAATTACAAAACCTTAAAAAATATGGAAAAATTACAAACAAAAACTATAATCAATTGAAGCGTTTAGAACCGAAATAAATGTTGTCACTTTAAAAATAACCTTTAGAACCGAAGTAAATGTTGTTAGTTTAATAATAAAACTAATAAGTCAAATCTTTGAAATTACAGGGTTATCGAGCAAATGCACTAAAAGAGGGCTTACAGACGCAAAACGGCAGCGCGTAAGTCTCATAATCTCATGGTCGTGAGTTCGAGCCTCACAGGTTGCAAATCAGGAAAAACTTTTTCCTTTGCTTTTTTTATCGAATCATGAAATATCAAAAAACAAGCAAAAACTATCATCAACTAACGCGTTCAGAACCAAATTGGTTGTTGTTAGTTCAATAAAAAATCAACCCATCGCAGTCCTGCAAAAAGAAGAAGACAAATGCAAGAGATGTTCACACAAAAACAGTTCATTTGAGTGTTTTTAAATTTGGAGAAAAAAAAACTAAATTTTTGTGTGATCACCGAAATAATGGTAACAGACACAGAAGAGTCGAAGAACCAACGACCAACGCACGCGACCATGGCGCAGTCGGCAGCGCGTAAGTCTCATAATCTTAAGGTCGTGAGTTCGAGTCTCATTGGTCGCATCTTAAGAAGAATAATTTAATTTGCTTTATATCCAACTATTCAATTTTACAAAAAAAAAAAATTACAAACAAAAAGTATAACCAACTGAAGCTTTTAGAACCGAAATAAATGTTGTTAGTTTATTAAAATTTATCAATAAAGAATGTCAGATTGTACCGAGTCGCGCAAAAAGAGGGTGGCAAATGCAAGAGATGTTCAAATGGAAACAGTTCATTTGAGTGTTTTTAATTTTGGGACAAAAATTAATATTTTGTGCGATCACCGAAATAATGGGAACAGACACAAACAAAACAGTCAAAGAGTAAACAGACAACGTACGCGACCATGCCGCAGTCGGCAGCCCGTAAATCTCATAGTCTTAAGGTCGTCAGTTCGAATATCAGTGGTCGCAGTTCAAAAAGAACACTTTTTTTGCTTTATATCCAACTATAAAAAATATAAAAAATATGGAAAAATTACAAACAAAAACTATAATCAACTGAAGCGTTTGGAACCGAAATAAAGGTTGTTACTTTAATAATAACGTTTAGAACCGAAATAAATGTTGTTAGTTGAATAATAAAACTAATAAATCAATTCTTAAGAGTTACGGGGTTATCGAGCAAACGCACTAAAAGAGGGCTTACAGACGCAAAACGGCAGCGCGTAAGTCCCATAATCTTAAGGTCGTGAGTTCGAGCCTCACAATTCTTTCAAAACACCGAAATAATGGGAACAGACACAAAAAAATAGTCAAAGAATTAACAGACAACAAACGCGACCATGGCGCAGTCAGCAGCTCATAATACTCATAATCTTAAGGTCGTGAGTTCGAGTCTCACTGGTCGCAGTTCAAAGAGAACTCTTTTTTTGCTGTATTTCCAACTATAAAAATTTTAAAAATATGGAAAATTACAAACAAAAACTGTAATCAACTGAAGCGCTCGGAACCGTAATAAAAGTTGTTTCTTTAATAATAACGTTTAGAACCGAAATAAATTTTGTTAGTTGAATAAAAAAATTAATAAATCAAATCTTTAAAATTGCCGGGTTATCGAGCACACCCACTAAAAGAGGGCTTACAGACGCAAAACGGCAGCGAGTAAGTCTCATAATCTTAAGGTCGTGAGTTCGAGCCTCACAGGTTACAAGTCAAGAAAAAATTTTTCCTATGCGTTTTTATCGAATTATGAAATATCAAAAAACAAGAAAAAAATAACACGCAAAATTTATCATCAACTAACGCGTTCAGAACCAAATTGGTTGTTGTTAGTTCAATAAAAAGTCAACCCATTAAAAATATCAGATTTTTCGGCAGTCGCGCAAAAAAAGGGTGACAAATGCAAGACATGTTTACACAAAAACAGTTCATTTGAGTGTTTTTAGTTTTGGAAAAAAAAAAAAAAATTTTGTGTGATCACCGAAACAATGGTAACAGACACAGAAAAGAGTCGAAGAACCAACAAACAACGCACGCGACCATGGCGCAGTAGGCAGCGCATAAGGCTCATAATCTTAAGAGCGTGAGTTCGAGCCTCACTGGTCGCAGTTCAAAAAGAATAATTTTATTTGCTTTATATCCAACTATACAATTTTACAAAAAAAAAGAAAAATTACAAACTAAAAATATAACCAACTGAAGTTTTTAGAACCGAAATAAATGTTATTAGTTTATTAAAATCAATCTATAAAAAATATCAGATTGTACCGCAGTCGCGCAAAAAGAGGGTGGCAAATGCAAGAGATGTTCAAATGGAAACAGTTCATTTGAGTGTTTTTAGTTTTGGGACAAAAATTAAATTTTTGTGCGATCACCGAAATAATGGGAACAGACACAAAAAAAGAGTCAAAGAATTAACAGACAAAGAACGCGACCATGGCGCAGTCGGCAGCGCGTAAGTCTCATGATCTCAAGGTCGTGAGTTCGAGTCTCACTGGTCGCAGTTCAAAAAGAACAATTTTTTGCTTTATTTCCAACTATAAAAATTTAAAAAGTATGGAAAAAATACAAACAAAAACTATAATCAACTGAAGCGTTTGGAACCGAAATAAATGTTGTTACTTTAATAATAACGTTTAGAACCGAAATAAATGTTGTTATTTTAATAATAAAACTAATAAATCAAATCTTTAAAATTACCGGGTTATCATCGAGCAAACGCACTAAAAGAGGACTTACAGACGCAAAACAGCAGCGCGTAAATCTCATAATCTTAAGGTCGTAAGTTCAAGCCTCACAGGTTGCAAATCAAGAAAAATTTATTCCTTTGCTTTTTTATCGAATTATGAAATATCAAAAAACAAGAAAAAAAACAAGCAAAAATTATCATCAACTAACGCATTCAGAACCAAATTGGTTGTTGTTAGTTCAATAAAAAATCAACCCTTTAAAAATATCAGATTTTTCCGCAGTCGCGAAAAAAGAGGGTGAAAAATGCAAAAACAGTTCACACAAAAACAGTTCATTTGAATGTTTTTAGTTTTGGAAAAAAAAACTAATTTTTTTTGTCATCACCGAAATAATGGTAACAGACACAGAAAAACACAAAAGAACCAACAAACAACGCACGCGGCCATGGCGCAGTCGGTAGTGCGTAAGTGTCATAATCTTAAGGTCGTGAGTTTGCGCCTCACTGGTCGCAGTTCAAGAAGAATAATTTTATTTGCTTTATATCCAACTATAAAAATTTACAAAAAAAATGAAAAATTACAAACAAAAAATATAACCAACTGAAGCTTTTAGAACCGAAATAAATGTTGTTAGTTTATTAAAACCAATCTATAAAAAAATATCAGATTGTACCGCAGTCGCGCTAAAAGAGGGTGGCAAATGCAAGAGATGTTCAAATGGAAACAGTTCATTTGAGTGTTTTTAGTTTTGGGACAAAAACTAAATTTTTGTGCGATCACCGAAATAATGGGAACAGACACAAAAAAAGAGTCAAAGAATTAACAGACAAAGAACGCGACCATGGCGCAGTCGGCAGCGCGTAAGTCTCATGATCTCAAGGTCGTGAGTTCGAGTCTCACTGGTCGCAGTTCAAAAAGAACAATTTTTTGCTTTATTTCCAACTATAAAAATTTAAAAAGTATGGAAAAAATACAAACAAAAACTATAATCAACTGAAGCGTTTGGAACCGAAATAAATGTTGTTACTTTAATAATAACGTTTAGAACCGAAATAAATGTTGTTATTTTAATAATAAAACTAATAAATCAAATCTTTAAAATTACCGGGTTATCGAGCAAACGCACTAAAAGAGGACTTACAGACGCAAAACAGCAGCGCGTAAATCTCATAATCTTAAGGTCGTAAGTTCAAGCCTCACAGGTTGCAAATCAAGAAAAATTTATTCCTTTGCTTTTTTATCGAATTATGAAATATCAAAAAACAAGAAAAAAAACAAGCAAAAATTATCATCAACTAACGCATTCAGAACCAAATTGGTTGTTGTTAGTTCAATAAAAAATCAACCCTTTAAAAATATCAGATTTTTCCGCAGTCGCGAAAAAAGAGGGTGAAAAATGCAAAAACAGTTCACACAAAAACAGTTCATTTGAATGTTTTTAGTTTTGGAAAAAAAAAACTAATTTTTTTTGTCATCACCGAAATAATGGTAACAGACACAGAAAAACACAAAAGAACCAACAAACAACGCACGCGGCCATGGCGCAGTCGGTAGTGCGTAAGTGTCATAATCTTAAGGTCGTGAGTTTGCGCCTCACTGGTCGCAGTTCAAGAAGAATAATTTTATTTGCTTTATATCCAACTATAAAAATTTACAAAAAAAATGAAAAATTACAAATAAAAAATATAACCAACTGAAGCTTTTAGAACCGAAATAAATGTTGTTAGTTTATTAAAACCAATCTATAAAAAAATATCAGATTGTACCGCAGTCGCGCTAAAAGAGGGTGGCAAATGCAAGAGACGTTCACATGAAAACAGTTCATTTGAGCGTTTTTAGTTTTGGAAAGAAAACAAAAATTTTGTGTGATCACCGAAATAATGGTAACAGACACACAAAAGAATCGAGGAACCAACAGACAATGCACGCGAACATGGCGCAGTCGGCAGCGCGTAAGTCTCGTAATCTTAAGGTCGTGAGTTCGAGCCTCACTGGTCGCAGGTCAAGAAGAATGTTTTACTTGCTTTATATTCAACTATACAATTTTTAAAAAAAAGAAAAATTACAAGCAAAAAGTATAACCAACTGAAGGTTTTAGAACCGAAATAGATGTTGTTAGTTTATTAAAACCAATCTATAAAAAAATATCAGATTGTACCGCAGTCGCGCAAAAAGAGGGTGGCAAATGCAAGAGATGTTCAAATGAAAACAGTTCATTTGAGTGTTTTTAGTTGTGGAAAGAAAACTAAATTTTTTGTGATCACCGAAACAATGATAACAGACACACAAAAGAGTCGTCGAAGAATCAACAAACAACGCACGCGACCATGGCGCACTCGGCAGCGCGTAAGTCTCATAATCTTAAGGTCGTGAGTTCGTGAGTTCGAGCCTCACTGGTCGCAGTTCAAGAAGAGTAATTTTACTTGCTATATATCCAACTATACAATTTTATATATAAAAAGAAAAATTACAAACAAAAAGTATAACCAACTAAAGCTTTTAGAACCGAAATAAATTTTGTTAGGGCAACAAAATCAATCTATAAAAAATATCAGATTGTACCATAGTCGCGCAAAAAGAGGGTGACAAATGCAAGAGATGTTCACATGAAAACAGTTCATTTGAGTGTTTTTAGTTTTGGAAAGAAAACTAAATTTTAGTGTGATAACCGAAATAATGGTAACAGACACACAAAAGAGTAGAAGAACCCACAACCAACGCACGCGACCATGGCGCAGTCGGCAGCGCGTAAGTCTCATAATCTTAAGGTCGTGAGTTCGAGCCTCACTGGTCGCAGTTCAAGAAAAAAACTTTTACTTGCTTTATATCCAACTATACAATTTTACAAAAAAAAAAGAAAAATTACAAACAAAAAGTATAACCAACTAAAGCTTTTAGAACCGAAATAAATGTTGTTAGTTTAATAATAATTCATTTCTTTAAAATTATTGGTTTGTCGAGCAAACGCGCTAAAAGAGGGCTTAAAGACGCAAAACGGAAGCGCGTAAGTCTAATAACCTTAAGGTCGTGAGTTCGAGCCTCACAGTTTGCAAATCAAGAAAAACTTTTTGTTTTGCTTTTTTATCGAATTATGAAATGTCAAAAAACCAGAAAAAATAACAAGCTAAAATTATCATCAACTAACGCGTTCAGAACCAAATTGGTTGTTGTTAGTTCAATTAAAAATCAACCCATTAAAAATATCAGATTTTTCCGCAGTCGCGCAAAAAGAGGGTGACAAATGCAAGAGATGTTCACATAGAAACAGTTCATTTGAGTGTTTTTAGTTTTAGGAAAAAAATTAAAAATTTTTGTGCGATCACCGAAATAATGGGAACAAATTAAGCGCGTAAATCTCAAAATCTTATAGTCGTGAGTTCTAGTCAAAACTTACAATCAACTGAAGCGTTTAGAACCGAATTGTTTGTTTTTATTTCAATAACAAATCAAATCATGAAAAACTTTCGATTATCGCAAAAAAACGCAAAAAGAGAAATAAAAATTGCAAAATTAGATACAGATGTTAACAAGAAAACAGTTCATTCAAGTTTTCCAAAATTTGGGAGGAAAAACGAACTTTTGCGCGAACACCAAAACTGAGTAAACAGACACAAAAAAAAGAGTCAAACTACTTCCATCCAAGCGACCATGGAGCAGTCGGCAGCGCGTAAGTCTCATAATTTTAAGGTCGTGAGTTCGAGCCTCACTGGTCGCAGTTCACGCAAAACATTTTTGTTTCATTTAAATCGAACTATGAAAACTTAAAAAAACTTGAAAAAACCACAGGCAAAACTTATAATCAACTGAAGCGATTAGAACCGAATTGTTTGTTTTTATTCCAATAACAAGTCCATTCATTCAACATATTCGATTATCGCGAAAACGCGCAAAAGAGAAATGAAAATTGCAAAATTAGATACAGATGTTCACAAGAAAACAGTTCATTCAAGTTTTCCAAATTTTGGGAGGAAAAATGAACTTTTGCGCGAACACCAAAACTGATTAAACAGACACAAAAAAGAGTCGAACTATTTCCATCCAAGCGACCATGGAGCAGTCGGCAGCGCGTAAGTCTCATAATCTTAAAGTCGTGAGTTCGAGCCTCACTGGTCGCAGCTCACGCAATACATTTTTGTTTCAATTAAATCGAACTAAAAAAACTCAAAAAACTTGAGAAAAACTACAGGCAAAACTTATAATTAACTTAAGCGTTTAGAACCGAATTGATTGTTTTTATTTCAATAACAAATCAAATCATTAAAAACTTTCGATTATTGCGAAAAAGCGCAAAAAGAGAAATAAAAAATTCAAAAACAGATACAGATGTACACAAGAAAACAGTTCATTCGAGTTTTCCGAAATTTGGGAGGGAAAAAGAACTTTTGCGCGATCACCAAAACCAAGGGAACAGACACAAAAAGCGTCAAGCACTTTACAAACAATGCACACGACCATGGCGCAGTCGGAAGCGCGTAAGTATCATAATCTTTAGGTCGTGAGTCCGAGCCTCACTAGTCGCAGTTCAAGAAAACAATTTTTTTTGCTTTATATTGAACTATAAAAATTTAAAAACTCGATTCTAACGCTTCATTTGAAGATAAATTTTGCTGTTCAATTTTTTTATGTTTTTTTTCAAAGTTCGATAAAAGCAAAGAAAAATAATTTTCATTAACTGCTCAGAATGAGACTAGAACTCACGACCATAAGATTATGAGATTTACGCGCTTCGGATTGCGCTATGCTTATTTGCCTTGTTGGTAAGTTGTTTGACGCCTTTTTTGTGACTGTTCCCTTGGTTTTGGTGATCGAAATATCAAAAAACAAGAAAAAAAAAACAAGCAAAATTTATAATCAACTAACGCGTTCAAAACCAAATTCAATTAAAAATCAACCCATTAAAACATCAAATTTTCCCGCAGTCGCGCAAAAGAGGGTGACAAAAGCAAGAGATGTTCCCATGAAAACAGCTCATTTGGGTTTTTTTAGTTCCGGGAAAAAAAACTAAATTTTTGTGCAATCACCGAAATAATGAGAACAGACTCAAAAAAAAGTCAAAGAACTATATCATAACGCACGCGACCATGGCGCAGTCAGCAGCGCGTAATTCTCATAATCTTAAAGTCGTGAATTCGAGCCTCACTGGTCGCAGTTCAAGAAAAACAATTACAATTTTCTTTGCTTTATATTGAACTATAAAAGTTTAAAAACATTTGAAAAAAATACAAGCAAAATTTATAATCAACTAACAACAAAGAAACAACGAAGAATCGTTGTCATCGTTGTTTCTACTCATCAAAAAAAACAAACGAAGAAATTGCATGTAACGCCCAAAGTGAATCCACGGCAAGTTTTATTAATAGCGTGTGCAAAACTAAACCGACAGAGCTTAAGTCGACAACAATGAAGCCGAAAAATCATTGGCGGAAATTTAGTATCCACAACAGCTATGAATAACGTGTGCAAATTGGAAACTAAACCGACAGAGCTTAACTATACACACTATGATTTGAGTTTTAGTTACAGCATACAGCTGTAGTAATTAGTACCCACCCACTAGTTGGATTTCAATTTTCATGAAACTGAGCACGTCAGCTGCATACCAACATCAAACGTGATTCAACAGTTTTTTTTAACCTGTTTGTTAACCCGAAAACAGTCTATATTCCGATTAGTAAAAGCTTGCTAATCATTTATACATTTTTTTCACCCTAAGTTATTGATGTTAAGCTTTATGCTTCATGTTTGGCCTTGAATGCCACAGCGAGGGTCTAACGAGATTTGTTTTGAACAAAATAGAAGTCTCCTGTCAACGATTTAAACTGGAAATCAGTTGTAATATATCTTATTCGCTAAACGTTGTTTTATAAATACTCGAAGAATCGAACAAGCTGGGTAATAGCTTAGAAACATGGCACTCGTACTAGAAGAGCTCATCTTGTACGACAAACTTTATGATCGGATTTCGGCACATTTCTTCTTCCTTCTGCAAAAAGATCAAATGAAATTTAAGGAAAAAAAACAAACCGTATGGGTTTTAAAATATGTTTTTAGGAAATCTGAAGTAAAAACACTGCAGATCTGAAGTAAATAATTAACACATTTCCAGCTTCAATGAGGGTATATCGTTACTGCGCAAGTAGAAAAGAATGTTCCGACCATAGTCTTGAAAAATATACAAAAAAATTTTTTTTTTCAAACTATTTGTAGTTTTTTCTGCGTGGTGTGAATGAAAGATCTAAACGAAAAAAAAACAAAATCAGCCATGTTCAATAATTATAGTCAAACAGCCAAAGAGGAAAACAGTTTTTCTAGAAAAATGAGTAGAAACACGAAAAAAATCGTTAAAAATTTTTTTTGCAGAAAGTTTTTGAAGTTTGAAGTTTTTGATTCCCAAATTGGCACTAATAACTCAAAAAACTAACTTTACTCAAGAAACTAAATTTTCACGGATTAAATTGAGCATAAACTGGTTATTGGAAACATGCACGCTCGCCTCATTAGCTTGAAATTAGACAAAAGTCAAACCGGTTTTTCTCACCAAAGGGAAAACGTTTTCGAAATTTTCAATGTCGTTCGAATCACGATCTAATGGGTTTTAATATGACATATCACTCAACTCATTGCGAGGACTATTTGTGGTACTTAATTTTGGGTGGAAAACAAAAAAAACTAAACACGAATACAAGTTCTTCCACATTTTTTTAAATAGTCAGAACAATAAAAACAGTCATAGTGACGTTGAAAGCGTTATTTAAAGAAAAAAGTGAGTTTTGACTTACCCACGCCAAAATAGAACAAGAATAGCCGGTTATTAGCAAGTAGCACAGAATGTTCAGACCATAGTCTTTAAAAAACTACAAGGTAAAGCTTTTTTTCAAATTAGTTTTTCTGCGTGGGGTGATAAAAATATGTTTATGTAAAACTACTTTTTAGGCATTTTTGACATTCATAGTAATACAGGCAAAAAAAACACAAACATTTATCAGAACATTGAGTAGAAAAACTTAAATAAAAAATAATGATAACTCAAAAAAAAAAATTTTGCAGAAAACTTTCCGATTTTTTTGAAGTCTTTGGTTCTTAAAATGGAGCTACAAAACTCGAAAAATTAATTTTACTGCCCTCAAGTTAAGGGCTGAAATTTTGGATTTATCCGAATTAAACTGTTGTAAGAATGTTTGCTTGCTTTATTCGCTCGAATTAAGACGAAAAAATTAAAATTCCAAACCGGTTTTTCTCAACCCCGGAAAAACTTTTTCAAAGTTTTTAAATGTCGTTCAAACGGGCTTCAGTATGATATATCGCTCAACCCAGTCTGATGATTATTTGTGGTAGCTGTTTTGCGTGGAAAACGAAAAGAAAAAAACTAAAACACACCCGAATACAAAGTTCCTCCCCATTTTCAATGATCGGAACAACAATAATTACAAAACAACTTCTTCGGACATCCTTCAAATATTACTCTTTGTTTTCAATCTTTTCAGTCAGTAGTACTGAACTTTTGAAAATGGGCCATCCTTAAAATCTGCTGGGTCGTTGACCCGATACTTACTAGGTATCTAAGAATCCAAATTTTGATCTAATTGAACATTTTTATCAAATAGTAAACGATTCGACACCACACTTGACCCCAATCAGCGTTCGTTAAGGTATCTAAAATCACGAGAAAAAACGTGCTCTGCGTCATGGTTACTTTTTAGTTTTCGAAGATAGTGGCCATATACTCAGACTGACCTTTTTTAGCGCATGCTCTTGCAGTTGCAAGTTCTCCCTGTCCATGAGCCATTTTCTGCATGGCAGTGGGGGCCACACATATGGGACTGGAGACAATTTGGCCCAGAATAGCATGACCCTGAAGGGACACGCCCTCCACGTCACGCAGCACCCTCGGAATGAGACGCAATCTGAACCAACAACAAAGACAGAACTCATCACAAAAAAAACTCTGCACTAATTTTACTGTTGGTCGTCTAAAGATCAACCTTGGAGATAGGCAATAACCGCAATCCTCGACTCGGTTGGGCAGGAAAATGTTGCCAAGAATGACATAATTAGCAGAATCGAAAAGCTGGTTGATCTAGTGTACCTTCTGAATGCTGCAACATTGTCAGCTAGGGTGTGTTCTTCGTCTGCGCCCGACTTGTAGTAGTTGAGTGCGTTACGGGGCAGAATGTTCCGAGCCTCTCTCTCGAAGTCACTCAGACACACCAATGGGGAAAAGTCGCATTGCTTGGAAGAAACCATCTTTGATTTGCACTACTCGCCGCCGCCTTCTAATGACTAAAAATCAAAAAAGGAAATGTTTCGAGTAGACCTGAATAGTGTAAGTGAAACAAAACTAAATGCCAAATCAAATTAAAAATTTGTATTAATGGCAAAATTGTTTCATACCAATTTAAAGCGATAAGTTGATCATTTTTGCCGTTTTGGACAACCAGTACTCACCAGCATGACCAAAACTAGTAACCAAATTGAGCTTAACTCAGCGAATAAGGGATAAAAATTTGTGCCAGACATGAAAAGAAACCTTATATTAAAGATAGGCGCTGATTAATCCGACTTCCCGTAAGTCTTCTTACACAGCTTTTGCTTAAGAAGCGTTATTAAGTTTTTATCAGGAAGGTTTGAAAAATTCGATGATTTTAGTACCATTCAAAAAAATTTCAAACGCCAACGACGACAAACTTTATCGTAAGACATGCTCCTTAATTTACGCCAAAGTCCGATAAATATCTAAATATCACGGAAGCATATCTGAAATTCAGTTGAAGACATTTAACCAACTATAGCCAAACTGCCGTGCAAACTCGCTGAAAAGGTCTACCATGTTTAATGATCAAGTGAACATTCGTTGTATATGTCCGTTAAAACTTAGAGTTGTTAGAGCTCTGGAGTTTCGCAAAGCCGGCATCATCAAGTGTGAGCACTAGTCGTGGCTGATACATCGATGCTCAGTGTCTCCTCAATGTCATTGGAACCCGATACCCATATATTGTGCGAGCTATGTTCAAATAGGCGTTGATTAAATTGCAGTAAATTTCTGGAAACAAAAGCCAAAAAAAACGCTTACAAATCTGGAAACGCTTACAAATTTTGAACACAACCCCTCATATGTGGCAACCCTTTTTCTTCACAGCTTTTTTTATTTAAAAAAGTAATATCTTTCCTAATAGTTTCCCGAAGCTCAGGCCGGACGGAAGTGATGCTTTCGCTGAATGTATTTTTTAAGCTGTCAAGGAAAGCTAGCGTGAGCATGGCAAAAAGTGAACGCCCAGAAACACTACAAACAACTATATTAACTGGAACTATCGATGTATTATTTTCAAATTTGGGAATCCTGTGGGGAATTTAGTATAGAGATAAAGATAAACTCAGCTTGACGTTGAAAATTGGTTAAAAAGGGAGCATCAAAAAGCCATATCAGATAGATGACAAAAGAAAAATCGTAATCTATAACACAATTAAAACTTATCATATCATTGTCTTTTTCCAGCATAAATTCAGCTAATAAGTATCTTCACACAACGGCAAAGCGGAGCTTTTCACTGCTTGCAATACAATACAAGAAAGCCGCTAAGTCGAAAAATAAAATCGAAAAAAAATCGCAAATGTCGAGAGAACTGATCTATCACAATGAATGAAGGCATGGGAAGAAAACTAACCCAGTGGTACATAGCTCAAATTTGACTAATTTTTTCTATCAATTAGGCCAAGAGGTGAGTCTAGGATTTTCTCGAGATAAGCGAGTTCTCATATATTTTTCGAAAATTTTGTGGACCTTTTTTTTGTCCGCCTGAATCCAAACATAAAAATATTACTTGCCTGAGTTCAAAAAAAAATGTCCGGGTTAGAAATACGATTGTATGTTTGTGGTAGCTAGTGTTTGATTGTTTTGGCGTTCTGATTTGTTGAAACTATAACTGAAAATCAGTTTTCATGTCATTTTCAATTTTTGTTGCTGGTAAAGAAATGTTTGGCTTCGCCTGGACACAAAAATTAACAAGACTGCTCGTATCAGGGCGAAGCCCTGAATGTTCCGACTGCCTTTTAAGGTTTATGAAGCACTAATAAAATAAATATCATTAACAAATTAAATGTATAAAAAAGAAGAAAAAATTTTTCTAATATTTGAAATTTTTTCCATGAAAATCATCCCCCCACACGCCATATAAACTACCAAAGAATAGATTTAGCTCCTTGTAACAAATCAATTAAGGCGAATAAACTTCTTTCAACCAATTTGGAACGATTTCTAAGACGGATTAAATCTCCGCTTACGCGTTAATAGCGCGAAATATATCGCGCGTTAATTGTCCCAAATTAGCCAAAATGGTAATCTTTAAGCAATCATAACTTTACAAAAAATGATCACAGGTGAAAAATCTATTCAAATTTAAGCTCAGGACAACAATACCTTTTGAATGATATAAAAAAATTCCGTCAAAAATGGCTAGTTAAAAAGTCGAAATTTGTCTGAAAAAAAAAACCCACCCCGAGCACAAATATTCCGTTACTTTCGTATCGAAAGTCGGAACAACAAGACTGCTTGTATCAAGGCAAAGCCCTGAGCGTTCCAACTGCCTTTTATGGTTTAAAGAGCAGAAATCACTAGAAAAATTTAATGCAATAAAATAAAATTAGAAATATATTTTTTAAAATTTTTTAGAGATTTTTTTGTGAAAACATCCCCCCACACGCCATATCAAGTACAAAAAGATAGATTTTGCTCCTATTAAAACAAAAAAATAATGGCAGATAAGCTTCCTTGAACCAATTTGGAACGATTTTTAAGACGGATTAAATCTCGCTTACGCGTTAATAGCGCGAATTATATCGCGTGTTAATTGTCCCAAAATGGCCAAAATGGCAATCTTTAAAGCCCCATAACTCTACGAAAAATGATCACAGGTGAAATATCTTTTCAAATTTGAGCTCAGGACAACAATACCTTTCGAATTATTTGTAAAAAAATTCCGTCAAAAATGCCCTAGTTAAAAAGTCGAAATTTGTCTGAAAAAAAAACCCATCCCGAGCACAAATATTCCGTTACTTTCGTATCGAAAGTCGGAAAAAGAAGACTGCTTGTATCAAGGCAAAGCCCTGAGCGTTCCAACTGCCTTTTATGGTTTAAGGAGCAGAAATTACTTGGAAAATTTAATGCAATAAAATAAAATTAAAAATATATTTTTTAAATTTTTTTAGAGATTTTTGTGAAAACATCACCCCACACGCCATATCAAGTACAAAAAGATAGATTTTGCTCCTATTAACAAATCAATTATGGCAGATAAGCTTCCTTGAACCAATTTGGAACGATTTCTAAGACGGATTAAATCTCCGCTTACGCCTTAAAAGCGCGAATTTTATCCCGCGTTAATTGTTCCAATAGGCCAAAATGGTAATCTTTAAACCCCCATAAATTTACGAAAAATGATCACAGGTAAAATATCTTTTCAAATTTAAGCTCAGGACAGCAATACCTTTTGAATGATATAAAAAATTTCCGTCAAAAATGGCTAACTAAAAAGTCGAATTTTGTCTGAAGAAAAAACCCACCCGAGCACAAATATTCCGTTACTTTCGTTACGAAAGTCGAAACAAAAACTAGATCTGAAAATCGCAAAAAAAACGAGTTGAGACCAGTCTACAAAAAACTGGTTGAGATCCGAGTTACGTTATGAATTTTCTTTTTCCTTAATTAAAAGGGTAAAACACTTAAATAGGCTCCAAGCCTACGTTTGTTTTCTTCTTGTCTTGGTGTTGACTCGAAAAATTTTAAGGTCAGTCAGCCAAAAAAAGGATATTTCAAAACAGTGAAAATGGTGGCACTCTTTTAGTAGGCAGAGGGTCGACACCATGAGGAAGTGGGGGCATCCGTACGTCCCCCTAAATCCGCTTCTGGTTGAGTTACCCTGAATTTTTATTAAGAAAATGAATTTGAGCTGTTAATCTTTGGCATGATAGCGTGCCATCAATTTGTGAGTAATTAAAAACAGTAGGTTTTGCATTACGAGGCCAAACTGCGCACTAGATAGGCGCACAATTTAGTGTTTGCAGGTCTCTGGAATCCAGAGACAAGTCTTTAAACATGTTAAATTTTGTCGGAAGGATCAAAACAAACGAAAGAACAAAAGAAGATCAAAGAAAGCTTCCCGTCCTTGTTGCGGAATCTGCTTACAATTCACAAAAAAACAACTTGGCTTCGTGAGGTGCGTGTAGAAGCTACGGAAAAAAGAAAAAAACTTATTGCACTCTATAAAACGTCCAACTGATAGTTCGGGGCATCGCATATTCCGTGGTTTAACCGAATTTCCGCAAAAAATGAAACTATTGATTTGATAGTATAACTTGTTTCAAGACTATAAATAACTCAGGACCTACTTGAGGTGGTCATCTTATGTATCGACTCTAAGGGTTAACTTTTGGGCTCTTTCGACCCTGTGGGTCAAGCATGTAGATTTACAATGTGTCGACCCTTGTGACTACCCGTATCTAAAAGAATCTCAAAAAAACAGATATCACTATTAATGCAGATGTAGCGGCAGTTGCACATCTGGCCAGATCTGAAATTATGATAGGCAGATCTGACCAGTAACTTTTTTCTTTAAAGTGTTAGAACAGACATAGTCACGTCTTGATCAGATTTAATCAGCCATAGTTAAGACATGTTCATGTCTGCAAAAGTTGCGATATACAAATTTGCAGCTGTTTCACTTCAGTTTTTATTGTTCCTAACATTGAAAATGGGGAGGAACTTTGTACTCGGGTGTGTTATAGTTTTTTCCACGCAAAATCAGGTACCACAAATAATCATCAGACTGTGTTGAGTGATATATACTAAAGAAGCCCCTTTTAGTCGTAATTTGAACCTTTAAAGTTTCCAAAAAAAATTCCAGCGTCGAGAAAAACCGGTTTGAAATTTTTAGTTTTTCGTCAAATTTCGCCCAAATAAAGTGATGATAACTCATTAAACTGTTCATTTAGGCTGAAAAAAAACTTATTTTTCTAGAAGGAAACTAGTTTTGAAAGCTTCATTTGGCACTTCCCCGGAAAGAAAAAATTTTCTAAAAAAATTTTTAAAAAAACTGCAACAAAGCAGAAAAAAATTTGAAATTTAAAAAAAAAAATTTTTTTTTGATTTTTTGGTTTGTAATTTTTTTTGAAGACAACTGTTACTGTTGTTGATATGTCTAATTTACCAACTTCTTAAGCGTGTGTATAGGAAAGAACTTGCAATCTGAGTAAACGAGAAAGAAACCTTAGCTAGCTAACCACCACTTACCTGTTGAATGAATTAATTTGAAGAGTTTAAATAAGCTAAATATATGCAAAAAACTTGCAAATAGTTGTTTTGACTTTGTTACGAATGATGGATAATTTCGGTTTCCAGACTTGAACTCAACTGCAAAATAATTGCATACCGATATTTACCTGCAATATGTATAGGTCGGGTCAGAAGTTAAATTTAGATGATTAGCCAGCTTAACTGAATGATTTCAGCAGCTGGCAAACAGAGCGACCATTCTTGAACTCGCCTACAGATATGGTTTCAATCTTAGTTTGCTGAATTTGAGGTGATATGAATTATTGCATATAAGTTGTGTTGCAGATTTAAAGCACTCAATTTGCATTGCCAATCATAACACGAATGGCATGTGTTTGGCTGATTTCGTATCCTTATTAACCACTCGGGGAGGGGGGAGATGGAAACAAAAATAATTTATTTTCTCAAGTTTTCTTAAACCATTCAATTAAGCCCCGCCCAGACGTTCAGTAAGTATTGCAAGTTGTGTATTGCGATTGACAGTTGTTGAAGTTCAGCGCATTATGCCATTTTTATGAAATTCCGTTTCATAAAAACTTCGCAGTTAAAAAGTTATTTAAACGGATCATGTTTGTCATATCTTATGTAAAACGAAAAGCTTCAAAAATTATACTCAATGAAGTATGATGGCTAAAAAAGCGTTATTTGTCAACATATGGTAAGCTTAAAAAAGCAACATTTGAGCACTTTTATCTGTCTGCAACGCCACAAACAATACCATTAAAACAAATAAAATCCTAACCATTTGGTAGTCATACTTTTAAAAATAAATTCCCGAGACAAACTTTACATTAGCAGGCCATTCATGGTTATTCAGATCATACTTTAACATTCAGTCCTACTCGCGTCTAATTCATCGAAGAATAACTTTTTCGAATTATTGTTAAGTAATAAACTAATTATGATTTATAATGTGGAGATGGAGAAAGTGAAAAATGTGCCTCTAGGGATAAAATTATCCACAAAAGAAGAAGTGAGGATGAATGGAGGTTCATTTTTTGTCACTAAAATTTCACGACGAAGTGTTTACCTGGGATCACTTGGTCAAGAAATTCAAGTGGGAGACGAAATTCTTCAGGTACTCTATTAAATGCAATCTGTCTCTGCAGACAAAATAAGAAAAAAATAGAGAAGTTTTTTTTCCAGAGGCGCGAGCTTTCAAAAAAAAATCGAAAAAACTGGCGGTTTTTGAAAAATTTTAGGGTTTATGGTAGACTAAAAAGAAAAAAATAATACCAACAGATTATCCCCAATTTGGCTGCACAGCCTTTGATAGATCCTCTGCGTTTTTTATCTAAAAGCTGAACTACAAAATATACCCTCTGAAAATTTGACCGCCCCAACCACCCTCCTTCTCAGAAAAAGCAGTTTTTTTGGTCAAAAGCTTCAGCGAACATTTAAAATGCCTTACTTAAATATGCAAATATACAATGTTCTTTTGATTTTGTGAAAGTCAACAAAAAATCTACTGACGCCGAAGTAAACATTGCTTCCTGTTTAGATCATGTTCGACAGTCCAGAAGTAACGGTGAGCTACTTAAACATCAACTCAGCCAATATATAAATTTTTTTCTCAGCATGGCGCAATTATCACAAATGAATTTTAAATGAATTTTTATTCTTTGTTACCAGATTAGCAGTGAGCACTTCTTAAGCGATAAATTCGAAATCTGTCACCAAATAGTGGACAAAGTAAACAGAGGCACATTTTATATGAAATTGCGACGCAGAGCACACCAAAACTCGCCACAGTATTTAGTGGATAATTCACTCGAAAGAGAAATGTCCAATAGTTCTTCGGAGTATTCGCTCCCGACAGAAGAACGAAAGTACCATCGGTCGGCGACAGCAGAACAACTTGCAGAAAAAAGGAAAAAAGGAAGAAGACGCGTATTGCCAGACCCTCCCGAAGAGGAACCAGAATCAAAGGTACAAATCAAGAAAATTAAGCAGACCACACAAGTTGTATTTTTTTAATCACTATTGAGTATATAAACAAAATAAACAATTGCTATAAAAAATAAACAGCTCCTACCACAGTAACCAAAAAATTCCACAAGCATTTGATTTTTCGATAATTTTGTTGGGCCATCCTAAATTTTTTTAAGCCTCTGTCATTTTCATTCCCAACACAACTGCAGATACTTGAAAGGCCAACCCACGGCAGACAACGGCTGAAACCTCATAACAGGGAAAATGTGTCGTAAAATATAATGGCAGATTTTGGTTGTAAACAGCCAGCTTGTTACGGTTAAAAACCTTAAAAAATGCAGAAAAGTTGGAGTGCTTTTTCACAAACAGGAGCGGATTTAAGGGAGGACGCCCTTTCCTCAGGTATTCGACTCTCTCACTGACCAAAGGGTCCCCCTTTTGTAATTATTTTTATGTCATCCATTTTTGGCTGACCAATCTTAAATTTTTTCTAAAGGCGCCTTGGGTGCCAATTTACACTAATTTTGAAGGGCAGCGCGCGCCGAAAAAAGACTATTTTTTGATCAAAATTTTCCGAAAAAGCCCATAAACGTCACAAACTATTTCGATTTAATAAACGCTGAAAAATATAATTCGAATCCGGAAATTCGCGTAGTAAACTTATTGTGTAAATATTATATAGTAAAAATTCCGTTTAAAACTTAAGCTTCTCGAAAGTCTGGAAGAAAAAATGAAAAAACTTTAATCCTTCAAAATAATTTTACAGTTCTTAAGATAACATGCCGTTGTTTTGAACTTTTAACTGATTGGACAGTTTAGTCGCTACTCCTTAATAAGTCCAACTTCGACTGCAAAAACAGCAGTATCGCCGACACACCAAGTTTTCGACTTTTTTCAATGAAAGTCTACCCTACTCCTCCTCGATTCGCACCTGCTTTATATTTACTTTCTGGTGGCTACGTGTGCATTTCATAGTCATAAGCAAAATGCGCCCCCAATCTGATCATCTTGAAATGTAATTGGCTGGTGGATTCAAAAAAATTGCCTGAAAGTCAAATAAAATGTAAAGATGTAAATCATGTAAAATTCTTGAGCCTTTACTTTTCAAAAAAAATTGCTTCTATAGCGATCACGGAAAAGAAAAAAAAGCTTCCCTAAAAAACTAACTAGTCATTCCCTGAAAAAAAAACCGATTTATGTTGCATAACGTGTTTCTGGTTCAAACATAGATTATGCTGGACGCCTCACAGATGAAGTTGGTAGATAGAGAAAGGGCGATGGCAATACATGACGACGACACCAGCAATGAACAGCAACAGATGCTCCCTCCCCTCATTACAGATGAAGAGTTCCAGAAAGTACCACTGGCTACGATAGGAGCTGGATACACTTCTGAGTACTCGGGGTCATCACTGGCGGATAAAATTAACCAATTTAAAGATCAAATGACTTCTGGAGATCTTATGCGAAAGTATCTGGCAAGTTTCTCATTTTGACAGTTACCAATGAAAAAATGAATTTGTCTATTGTTAACACGCGCATTAATAAACATGGTATGTTTTGTAATACATCTTGGTAAATCTGATTGAAAATTGACATTAATTAGATTACCCAGCAGCAGTTTAGGTTAATACCAAAAGGCAGTCCTACAACTTTTTCATTCTTTTCAGTCTGTTCCACTTGAGGTTAAAGGGGAGACACAACATGCAGGCAGAATGTCAAACAATATATTACACAACCGATACCCAGATGTAGTACCGTGTAAGAAATGGCTCTTTCAGATTTTTTTTGCTGCTTGGGCTAGCATTTGGAGCTATGTTCTAAGCTTACTTGTACTTGGGTTCCACGACAGCAAAGAGATCGAAGAAAAATAATTCTCTTAATATGCTTAAAATTTAACATAAATAGAAAAAATCTTTATTTCTTACAATTATCATTCAATCACTGAAAAACAAATTATCAAAAAAAACTGAAAAAATCTGAAACATTAAGAAAACTGAGAAACTAAAAAAAAACATGTGATAAAAAGCGGTACATTCTCCACTAGAAAGCTTACAGCGGGATTTTTTTTCTCAATCAAAAGAAAATAGGAGGAAACTGTGGAAAACCTTTTTTGTTCTTGGACTATTTTTATCCGTTTGTTCAGATGACTCAACTAGAGTGATTCTTAAGAACGAGCTGCAGGATTACATCAACGCCAGTCACATCAGACTAGTCGCTTGTGAAGAAGCTTCCTATCATAATCCCACTGGTTTGGAGAAGAGCCATCTTGATGAAACAGTGGATGGTGTGGCTGTCAATGGTCACAACAGTTCAGCAGGGTGACCATAATAAAAATAACTTCGGACAATTATTCAACTATTCAAGGCCAAACTGTTTTTTTTTCTACAATTTGTCAATCTATAGCTATATCAGTTGTTAAGTGGATCCTCAATTTTTGGACTTAAGGTAATCCTAAGTTATAAAAAAACTGATAAAAACAAAGTTAAATTAAATCTTCCCGATGAGAAAGAAAAGAAAAGGCAGGAAATTTTTTTACAAATTAATTTACTTGCCCAGATCAAAAAACAAACAGTTTGACATATCAACTCCTTATTTTCGAGATCTTTGGCTAAACTCTTTGGCGCGGTACAAGAAAGATAGTTGGAATTCGAAAACATAGGTGGTTACATTAAGCGCCTTAAAATCTGTTTAACAATAGTTTTTTTACATTTTTGATATTTAAAAAAATAGCAGGACGCATCTTTTTTACTTCTTTTTTCTAGGAATTCGTCTATAATACTTGTGCTCTTTGCCAACAACTTGGTTAAACGAACAAGCAATTGTAAAAATCAACATCAAAAAACTTATTTGAGCCCAATTGAATATTTCAGCAGCGTCTTGAAAGGGACTACCACGGAAGATAAGATCTGGTTCATCGCAGCTCAAACTCCTCTTCCTGCGACTACTTCCGTGGCTCACTTCTGGACTATGGTGTGGCAAGAGCGAGTGAAGGTGGTAGTCATACTCAACGACCACAGTGACTCAAAACACAGTCCAGAGGTGAGCGATGATGGCTCTAGTACTTAGCAGGGTAAGAAGACAAGTGTTGTTTACCCGGAGTGTTTTGGTTTTTGACTTTTTCAACTGTTATTTAGGTGTTTAAAGAATGAGTTGATTTAGTTTTTGCTAACAAACATGCCAATGATCATTGTGATTGTGACAAGTCAGCCTTGATTAATTCAATTCCTTCGAAATTGCCAAAGTAGTGCCATGCTTGAACAACTCCAGGAGTTTTGAAATTGATTGCTTGTACTTCTGTGTTTTTGTTTCAAACCAATTTATTTTTTAAGAATTTACCGCTACTGGTTGTCACTTGGTGCGAATAGTTGCGCTCTACCGATTGTCGCACTTTGGCAGTTGACAATTTCAGCGAATTTCGACCAGCTGAAGTTTTCGACTTATCGTGCCCGCTAGCGGCCTTAAGCCAAAATTCTTAAGTTATAAACTAATTTTCAAAATTTGCGTGTTGTCGCTTTCCTTAAATTGTGCGAGTTGTCGCTTTCCTTAAACTTTGAGAGTTGTCTTTCGTTTCGATTTCTTGCGGTACCGACAATGGTACCGCAACAAACCGAAACAAAAGACAACTCGCAAAATTCAAGGAAAGCGACAACTCGCAAAATTCAAGACAAGCGATAACTCGAAAACTTCAAGGAAAAGGACAACTCTCAAAGTTTAAGGAAAGCGACAACTCGCACAATTTAAGGAAAGCGACAACTCACAAAATTTAAGCAAAGCGACAACACGCAAAGTTTAAAAATTAGTTTATAACTTATATATAAACTAATAAGAATTTTGGCTTAAGGCCGCTAGCGGGCAAGATAAGTCGAAAACGTCAGCTGGTCAAAACTCGTTGAAATTGTCAACTGCTAAAGTGCGACGATTGGTAGAGCAATTATATTCGCACCAAGTGACAACCAGTAGCGGTAAATTCTTTAAAAAAAAATTGGTTTCAAACAAAAAAAACAAAAACACACAAGTACAAGTAATCAAATTCCAAACTCCTAGAGTTGTTCAAGCATGGCACTACCTTGGTAATTTCGGAGGAATTCAATTAATCAAGACTGACTTTTTACAATCACAATGATCATTGGCATGTTTGTTAGCAAACATTAAACCAATTCATTCTTTAAACACCTATTTAACAGTTAAAATTGGCAAAAACAAAAATACACCGGGTAAACAACACTTTTAGTGTTATGGCTAGTTTTGAATGTTCCAATTGCCCTTTGAGGTACTTGAATTACTTCATGTTGAAGAAAAACGGATAAACTGCTTAAAAAAATAAGGACAAACTTTTAAAAAAAAAATGCGAACAAAAAAATTAAGTTTTTGTAAGATTTTCCTGTGCAAATCTTCCTCCAAGCTGAGCTGTTACGCCAATTATTCCGACTTTTTAATCAAAAGCTGTACGCGTAGCTCCAAAATTTTTTGTATTTCGGTTTTACGCCACATACAGTACCAGAAAGACACTTCATGCAAGGTCCAGAAATAAATCACAATTAGGCTTTACTGTTGTAATTCGTTCTCCAAAATAATATATTACATTTTTTGGTGTCAAGGTCAAAGAATGATGATGTAATGTCAGATTAATGAATTCGACTTTGAAAATTTTGTCGACTTTTCTTTAGGTCGACCAAATTGATTTTTCGAGTTCTCCCAAAGTACCATTTTGAAAAAAAAACAGGCCAAAATTCCCCCCCCTCAAAATAAGTATATAATGGCGCCATAGGCTCCTTTAGAAAAATTTTATGGTTCGTCACCAAATATGGATATCTCAAAATAGTACAAAGGGCTCCTCCGCGCCCCTAAATCCGCCCCTGAGTTTCAGCTAAAAAACTTTGGCAAAAAAAATCATTTTATCCTTGTAATATATTTGTTTGCAAAATGAGGTTGGTCGAAAATTTGTGCTAACTGCACAGCAACAAGCTATTCTCGTTTATTTTGAAATGTTCTTAGAAACAGAACAGCGACCTATTTTGGCCGAAGGAACAGAGCATCTGTGCTACATACGGAGGGCATCGTATTCAACTGGACTACTCGCAGAAACTGGAACATTTCTCAATACACAGGATACAACTGCATTCTTTTTTGGTATATATTCACTTCGCTTATTGATTTCTTCCTCCAAATATTAAGTTGAAGTTCCTGTGATAGACTCGCATTGCAAGAACACGCGCGTTCTTTGATTGAAGTCAAATTTGGAGTGGAATGAAAAAGAACGCTTTCAAGCCTACGCCCAATTTAGAAGGTGATATAATTTTTTAAGAAATTTATTGGACAACGTTTTGAGCTGGGAACAATTCTTACCTTGACTTTAAGACATCTACCCCCTACAGAACACTAGCTACCTAGCCGCCTTGATGAGATGCGTTTTTTTTTGCATTTTAGACGGGTGTCGATCGCAAAATCCTATTACTACACTATACCAATACCAACTCGACGTTCGAAAAACCACACTCCGATTATCCTTCAGCCGAGAGGACTTCTTCGATTCACGACTTCATTCGGTTTTGCAACTTTGTTACGATGAACACGCACGACTCTTCGCCTCTTTTAGTGTCATGTAAAGACGCAATTGGTCTAACGGGAATTTTCATTGGGCTAATTCAAGTGTTCAAAGCCATTCAAATAGGACAGAAAGTAAGAAAAAAACTGGGAAAAACTTTTAATTTCACAAAATCATTTGAAAATTTTGAAAAAAAAAGAATTGCCATTTTTAAAGAGCACTCAAAAATAATCACTCAATCTTATCTCATTTTTTAAAAAATTTAAAGAAACTATATTGATCAAAATCAATTCAATTACTTTTTAGATAAAATTGGAGGAAATTTTGCAGAAAATGCGGGAATGGAGGCCCAATATGATCTACAAAGAAGTAAGTTTAAATAAACCAAAAAAATTTCATTTAATTTGAAACCAACTGTTTCAGGGGTCACTAATGTTTCAGGGCCAGTACGCATTTTTTGCTGAGTGCTATTACGAGATTCTTTCATCGCTGAAACCTTGACAAGAAACAGTCTCAAAATTATGCCAAAAAAAGCGGCCAGTATAAGAGTAGAGTCCAAAAACAGAAAGGGTCTAATTAAAGAACGAAACGTATAACAATCTCGGGCCACCATCCTGGCAACTATCGGCATAGAGCGACGACGCGGGCAGAGTCACCAACCACCATGCCACTGACAGAGACTTTTTTACTATATCATAACTCTTATTCTGCAAAATATTTTATTTGCATTCTGCTTTTGAACCATTCGAAAATTAAAAAATTTACTCACCAAATACTGCAAATAAACTTGTCGGATGTTTGGCTGCCTTTGTGCTGTTCGACTGGTCGTCTCAGAATTGAATTTAAAAAGTTGTCTTTCTCATTCATGAACCATTTTCTGAAAGTTTGAAACATTGACCTTCAGCATCAGTTCAAACGATTATTGTCGTCGAAGAAGTTGAACTTCCGAAGAACGTCATCTTTTCGAAAATCAAATGTCGTGGGACTACTAATTTTGTTTACTAATTTGAGTTTATTTTAAATTATTTTTTACGATTGAATTTTTTATTCGATTATTATCCTAGTGGTGTTGAAAATGGGTGTAGTCGAATACTGGAAGGAGAATCTGCCCCTGATTATTCCCCTCTTAGTTCTAAGTAGCCTCTTCATTCTATTCATCTGGTTCTTCATCTGCAGGCAGTTCAAAAAGGTCAGTGCAATTAAAGAAAAAATAGCATTCAGCCCCACTGACCGAGGTCGAAGGCTTCTCAACGGCAGTTTTAACTAGATTCCTCAGCTCGAAAACCAATTCTTTGAAGCAAGCTAATTCTAAAATGTTCAATGTTTGCAAGAAATGGTTGATGAATGAACCCTTTTTGAGGATATTGCACGAAATAAAAACTTAGTTCGGAGTAAAAAAAATCATATCTGTCACCGAAAACGATTTCTAAACCTCAAAACATTCAAATTTTGAAAGGTCTTTCAAGAATTCTACTATTAACGAGCAATAAAAAAATAAAAAGAAGGATTGTGTAAGAATTATAAAAGATAATTTCAAATGAAAAAGCCTCATACAGAAATTGCATAACTATGCTTTCTGTTTCAAGAGTATTGTGGCTAGCGCAACACGCTCACTTTACAATCTCACCTCGAGTCCTAACCCAGCAGCCAACCAATCAAACTCAACTAATCGAACGAGCGGCAAACGCAGTCGTGCCATATCGGACGAATCTGAACCAGGATTCGAGTTGATAACGTCATCGCCCAACAACGCGAGAGGATTACGAAGTCAGACGCCAGGTCGCAACTCGAGAAATTACCGAGGGAATAAAATGCAGCTAAGCTCACAGTACGATCTTTCGGGTCGAAATTTTCCAATCGGCGCTGGATTTGAGTCGTACCCTGAAACTTCCGACTCGACATTTAATAACGCCGAGCATAACTATGTAACATACGAGAACGAAGTGTTGCCAGTGAATGTATACCGCGTGGGACATCAGCCGAGGCGGAGTCGTCGGGCGATGTCGTCACAGTCGCACAATCTGAGACGACACTCCTCGGGTAATCAGAGGTTTAACATCCGACGACATGCAGTGAGTCACCCTAGTCAGAGCAGCTCTCAGTTGGAGTCCCAATTTATTCGCTTCCAGAGTGAGTACTTGTTTTTTAAACTAAGCCAGCCATAACTACATTCGCTCGAATAAAAAATGTCCAATATGATCATTGAGAATTGCTGATAGTTTTAGTATGCCCAGATCTAAACTGAAGTTAACTGAATCGGCTGGAAAACTTTAATAATTAATCAATGATTGACATATTTTAGACGGTGAATCCGGTCAGTATCCAGACTGCTTGAGAAGCAGTTTTACAGTTTTTCCAACTGGCAACCCTTTGGACCCAGAAGACACACTCGCCACCAGTGCAGCGCAACATTCAAGGCGGAAACAACGAGAACGGGATCTCCACACTCGAATGCTGCAACAACTGCTACAGGAAAGAAACGCTCACGATGGGAACCCTATGGATGTGGAGGAGAGATTCCCGGGTGGGGGATTTGGGGAAGTGGACTTCGGACTGACACCCGTGATGGAGGAGATGGGAGGGAGTGGCACACTTGTGGGAGGGGGTGGATCTGGACTGGCTAGTTCTACTAAGATCCAGGAGGGCCTCTTAGTCACAAATGGGTCCAGGGGAGGAAGAGGGAGGGTGGAAACAGAAATAACGGGACAGATTGAACAAAAAAACCAAGTGAAGGTGACAGAATCTTGATCAAATATGACGCTTTCAATGTTTGCAGTATGCGATGAAAATTTAAAAAGTAAACGAACTGAAAGCAATTTCGATTCGATGTTTTTCTTGACTGAAAGAGCTCAAAACAGTTTTAAACCATTCCTTGAATTGCTTTAATGGAACTGTTTTTTCGTGATTTTAGAGTGATCTGATGTATCCTGTGCGGGGGAGAGGTGGTGTTGCAACGCTCGCAAGAGAGGGTGGGGGCGTTGGCGGAGGATATGGAGGTTCGGGATACATGAACAGATACAGCACCCCTCTTCCCCCTGGCAGCCGTCCACCCATGATGGCGATGATGCGGAGGAACACCTCCAAGGCCTCCAGTGGATTGCACTCTGTGGCCACTACTAACCAGTCCAGTCTGAGGACCCATTACACCGACCACAATGACCTCGCCCACTCCATCTCCAGCATATCACTGAACTCCACCTATTTGGATTATTTGGGGAGAGGGGGAGATGACAGTACTCATCACATGGCATCTATTTACGACCATTCACACCACAGGTCAGCTTTTAATATAAATCATTTCTCAAATAGTATTTAAATTGTTACTTGATATTAATAGCAAAACAGGTACACATGGGGCAAAACTATAGCACTGAAAAAGTATAGTGATAAATAATGTTGCAAGTTAGGAATGGGAGTAACTCCTTTTTCAACTAATCCACGCAAGGTAAGACGATCTGAGAAACAAACATTTAAAAAAAAACAATTCTCGATACAGAATTTCTTTGAAATATCTTTTCAAAATCCTAATAACAAGAGAAAGAGATCAAAAAATGCCCTTTTTCGACTCTCTACACGCGTTACACCGTGGGGTACCTGAAAAGAGTTGAAAAGTTTTTAACCTGAGTCTGAGTCAGGGGTGTATCTAGGATTTTATCGAAGGGCCAGAAAGCTCCGCCTGTTTGGTTTTAAAAAGTTCAGCGCCGCAGCCGGTCTTTTGAAAAAAAAAAAACCGTACCACAATGGCCTTAAAGAGCACTTTGGAGAAGGTTTTGACCAAAAAAATTACCTTAAGAAAACGTTCGGGATTGATCAGCCGAAAGTTGATGTCAAATAGTATCGAAGGTACACCTTTGTTAGTTATGACATGAAATCAAAGACCCCCCCCCCCCCCCCCTCTAAGTCCACCCCTGCCCTCCGGCCATAGTTCAGTTCATATCTAGTGGATTGTCGAAATAGCTAAGAGCAGAGTAATTATCAATGCTGCTTCTGAGGGCAGTGCAAGTTCGGATGGGGCAAGATTAACCTTTGATAAAATAAACCAAAATAGTCAATGGCATTTGCAACAATGTTCCGGAATAACAAGAGCAATTAAAAAATTGTTTGATCTCCATTAAATGTTCAGAGCCTTGCCGAGACATTGCTCCTCGGATTCCGAACTAGAAGCCATGACAGGGTCACGAAAGTCTATGAGCCGCGCCTTCAACTTCCACCCAATTGCAATGGACACACCCCAGATGACGAACTGTCACAATTTCCACCACGTCCCTCAACGTGATCAGCAACCACAGTTGGCGGGGGATGATCAAGCAGAAGTACAGGTGGCCGAATTGGGACCCAATGAGCGACGAGCAGAAAATAACCACATTATGCAGAGAACAGGCAACACATCACAGCAGACGCCGAGACGATTCAGATCGGATCAGATTTTGTATCAAGGCCAGTGTCAACTCTCGGCAACTCCGGATAGAAATGGAACGAGTGAACAGCGAATGGGAACCCAACTTGTTATGGGGGACCAGAAACCGACTTTCATAATCAGGGGAAGTGAGATCGCAGAAGGGACAGTAACTACGAACGAAACTGGGAGGGACGAATCACACCAATGGGTTTAGGAGAAACAGATATAACACTGTTTTTTATATACATTGAATTGATCTCGATGTTTTATTGCAATCTAGTAATGGCAGGAAACACGCATCTCGAAAAAGCGTTTCTCTTTGAAGAGTGATTTCAATATTTTAATAAAATCTTTAAAAAAATTGCATTTTGAATGCTCCAGATAAAACTTTAAGAGCACAAGATAAAAAACGTTTTATATTCGCTCAACATGAAGCTTTAAAAATTAAGAATAACTGCAATGACACCATTTTAGACTCCCAGAAACAAAGAACTCCACCCTCTATAATACTTACCAAGAATCTATGCCATTATCGCCAGCTGCTAGAAAACAAAGGGTGAACAAAACAAAACAAGAAAATTCCAAGTGGGACTGCATTTAATAGTGAAGAGTAACATGTAGCAATTAGCAAATTTACAGTTGGAAAACGGGCCTCCCTTAGCCAATCGAGGAAACGATTTGCAACGTTTCGGAATTGTTAAAACACTACGAAAGCTTGGGCTACCTTCTGCAGCGTATAGACGATTTCAATAAGACGAATCGCTATTGAAACTGTTTCAAGTTTTTGAAACTATTCAAATACTTTGAGAATGAAAGCTTTGAAATGACTGGATGCTCAATAGGGGCTCAATCAGGGCGAAGAATACCCTCTGTAGGTACCCTCCCTACCTTATTTAAGTTTCCGTAACCTCGAAAGATCTTAGAAATCACTGTTAAAACAATATGAGAGCAACTTAATTCCAACCTGTCATTCAAGGATACTTTAAACACTGGTAAAACAAGGAGGAGAGTAACATTTATTCCATTCTGTCTAAAAAGTGGTCTTATTATCGAAACTGATCAGATTGAAAATTTGCTTGTTAATTTGATTAATTTTGAAGAAAGTAAGGAATATATGCTTCTAGTGATTTTCTAGTTTTCAGGAATATTTTGGAGATCGAAATAAGGTTGACGATTTTATTTTATACACCAAGCAAGATAGTGACTCCCTGATATAAGAGTGTAAAAGCTTTGCGTTTGAAACTTCGCAATTCAGTACTGTTCGGGACTCATTTATGCGTGCTGTAAAGAATTGATCTACGATGATGAAAACGTTACCGCAAATAAGTTATGCGTAGCAAGTTATCCTTGTCCAATCTGTTCCAACTTGAAATGAGGCAAGCCAAAGGGTGGAATCCCTCATACGCGAAGGTCCGAATGCGCGAAAATGGTAGCGTCCCTCTTGCTTGAAATTTACTTTAGTTTACTCTCAGCCTATCAGAATTGAGTATTCAAAATCTCAAAGTAAATCGTGAAAATCTCAAAGAAAGAAAATAAATCCAGGCCATTAGTGTTAATACTGACCGATTAGATAATAAGCAGATGAGTTTTCAAGACTGAAAAAATCTTATGAACTTGAACTCATAAATCTTGATATTTATCTGAATAGTATTGCGGTTGTAACCCGCAATTTGTAAAATTTTTGATTATTTTCCACTGATTTAAAACATTTTCTGTTAATATTGACTTCGATTTTGTGAAAGGCATTTAGCCAATAGGAACGCTTAGCGATTTTGATTGGTTGAAACTTTTCAAGCTTTCGGTCCTTCAAGCATGAGAACCCTCCCCCGCGAAAATACAAATCATCCAATCAGATTTCAGTAATCTAAAATTTGGAAAGAAAGTAAACATTTCCAGGGACTGGGGTATTGAGATTGGCCGAATATAAAAACGGCAGAAATATGCAAAATTTTAATATTGTCATTGACCGCCGCAAAATTGGACAAATGTTACATTTCAAGGGTTTCGTAATGAAAGAAGCAAACTGTTTCTTCCCTTAATTCTTTTTAATTGAATGGCAACTGCTTCTTTCAAAAAATTGATTTTCGGCTAATTTTGTTTTCGGTTTTTCGCACAAAAGTTTTTTTCGCGTATTCAGTTCTTCGCGCATGAGAATAGCTCCCAAGCCAAAGGGTCACAATAATTGCCTGTACGACTCAAACTTGAACACTTATTTTGTAAGGTTCGCAGGGGGACGAAAAACAAACAGTTCAAGATTTATAATTAATGAACTTTCTTTTCCAAAACTATTTGAGACCAACTATTAAATATAGTAAAGGAATAATTGGAACAACATATGAGCTAAACTTTCTCGAGGGGGGGGGGGGGGCGGATTTTCAAAAGAAATTTGAAAAAAAAAAAAGCCAAAAAAGGCGTTTTTAGGCACTTTTTGGAAAATGTTTACCAAAAAATCGCGTTTTTTCGGCGCGCGCTCCCCCCTTAAAATTAGTATATATTGGCGTCGAAGGCGCCTTCAGAAAAATTGTTAGTGTCCGTCACCAAAAATGGATATCTTAAGATAGTACAAAGGGGGACCCTTTGGGTCGGCAGGGGGTCGAATCCCTGAGGGGGAGGCGTCCACCCGCCCCCCTAAATCCGCCCCTGTTCACAGGGTAATAAAATATTTTCGGTGAAATCGGATTCGTAAAATAATTTTCCCAGCTTTTGCGTATTTTTATTGTAATTTTTGCCACTTTAGTATTTAAAAGCGAGAAATCTATTTTTAAGGTTGGTACCAATTGCGAAACCACTCCAAAATCTCATTCTATGAATGAATTAATTTTATCGGCGACTTGATTAATTTAAAGGCAAATCAACCCATAGAAAGGTTCTAGCTTCAAAAATTCTTATTTTTACCGAGCGGCTACTTAGCCGACAATTTTTGGGTAGGCGACGCTCTAGCAAAAAAAACTCATAAAAAATTGTTGTCATAAAACAAATTTTTGAGCGGTTAGGTTTTGAAACAAAACTTTTACTACCCATCGCTCCCTGCAATGCTTAAAACATGTAACTTTTTTCTTTCAACTAAGCAAAGTAGGTTGACCTAGTCGATAAAACATCAGCCGAAGCCATTTGAAAATAAAAACTTGAATAAAATTGAAAAAAGAACGAAAAAATTATCAACACAAAATTTCATAATCCTAACTAGCAGAACGACTGTCAATTATAGTAACAACCAGCAAATTAAATAGTAAAAACTCAGCAAAAAACCCACACACTGAAATTGCAGAAAAGAAAAAAAAGTGCAGAGGAAACATTGCTTTTAATTTCACCAGACTTAATATGATGCAATTTATTTTTCGAAACTCGAGCCTAAGTTTTCCCAAAAATGGGTCATTTTGACGTTTTTAGCTAATCTAGAATTACGCTGAAACTACCGAGTTATTTGACGAGAAGTTCATATCAAAAGAAGCCTCTTACACGAATTGACAAAATTTTAGAATGGCAAAACTTCCTTACAGTATCCACAAAACGTTTGAAACTTGTTTTTAAGCAAAGATTTTGATTTTATATATTAAAAATGAGCTTTCCTGGTTATCAACCAAATATATATACTCATATACAAGTATTTGGAGATTTTACTATAGGAGAACTTTGTCTGGCTGTGTAAGAGGCTTCTTTTGATATAACTTTCTCATAATTAACTAGGTAGTTTCAGTGAACTTCTTGGTTTACTAAAAAAACCAAAACTACCAACTTCTTAGGAAAAACTTTGGTTTCGAATTTCGAAAAACAAATAGCACCATATTAATTCTGGTGAAATTCTGAGCATTTTTTGTCTTCTTCACTTTTTGTCTAATCTAAACAATATTTGAGAAAATCACCTATGAAATATCAAATTTTGTTCGTTTGGTCCGGATAATTTAAATCAGCGCCATACTATGTCCTGTCAATGGCATGTGTTAATTGTCTAGGAAACAAGACTTTGAGTTAAACAAAAAAAATAATTGTTATATAACTTCACGCTCCTTTTCGAACTCTTTTTATTTGAGCAAACCCAAAGGCACACAGGAACCGGCAAAACTTTGACTATAACAATTTTGTATTCTTTTCTACGGTTTGAATGATAAGCCGCAGGAGTATATCGGACAAGAATATTGCTTTTTGACGCGCTGTTTTCTCTCAAAATCATTAAGCCGATATGTCTGCGCTCAATGCACTTTTAAAGATTCCGTTAAGCGTAGTCGTTTCAGAGTGGAAAATTTAGAGTCGCGAAGCTAACGATATCTTGAGACCACGGGCTCGTTTTACCAACTCTCTAAAACTGATGAAGCGTAAATGACTTTGGAGGAAATTGGACAGCAGTGATCATTGCAACAGCAGATTTCGTGAGGTTGTTGTTACAAATTTTGACACAGAGGCGAAGCAGAGCTTTGCATGCTTGCAGTACAAAAATGAATCACTATCATTAATAGCAGATGTAGCGAAAAAATCAAAAAATTGTTTTTTTCTAGACAAACTATAAAAACTGCAAAAAAAATCAAAAATATTGGAAGTGAATTATTTGCACCTTTACAAATCTTACAAACACAGGCGAAGCAAAGTTTCGCTTCTCTTGCATTACAACACAAACATAGCATGACAAACTAACCGACAGAAATGGAAAAATTGACCTACCAAAAAGTTTCCTACTTTTGTTTTAATTTTGTCTTGAATAAAAATTCTTTTGAAGAAATTTTACCTAAAACTAAATCAATTGAACGTAAAAGTAGCATTGAAATATAACTTATGAAGCCAAAATTTTTTGATTAGGCACACGTTGCGCAGAAATAATTATTGTTTTTACACAGAGACGAAACTGAGCTTCGCACCACTTGCGATACAAATATGAATTACTATGGAAATCAAACAGAAAAAATTCGAAAAATCGTTTTTATCAATAAAAATTGCACTAAAAGTCCAAACTATCCAGAAACAAAATGCTTGCATCATTAGAAGCTCTACGAAGAGTTTTGGGAAAGCTATAGAGAAGTTTTCAAAAAAAGTCTTTCTGCGGAACTAAGCAGACAAAATAAGCAGACAGACAAAAATCTAAATTAACAAGAAAAAAGTCTCAGCTGGAATCGATCTCCTGGGCTTTGTCGTCGTCTCAAGCATTGGGATTACGGCAACTTGGAAGAAAACTAAACCGGAACTAAGCCTACCAAAAAAACAGACGAATAATAAATCTTAAAAGCACAAAAACTCCAGTTTGCAAAAAAAAGTCCAGTCCGATTCGAACCGCAGATAATTAGCCGTCCTCAGCAGTTGTTTTACCTCTATGCCAAATG